CCCCCCCCCGGCCCTCCAATGGTATGGTCGCTACCAGGTGCGTGAATGCCAGTAGTTATGAGACGGGGCAAGTGTCAGTATACAGGCAGCTAGGCAGGAAGCACTCACGCAGGCATGCACGCTCGCAGCAGTCATGCGCGGCCGGGCATCCATGTGTTTGCAGTGTGTTTGCATCATGCCCTCTGTCGCAGCGCTGGTGGGCGTCCCCACTCGACGAGCTCTGCAATGTCGGCGTGGTCAACAGGCACCTTCCGTGATCCTCTTCTCAAGCCTAAACCCAGAAAAAAACCCTAAACCCAACACAGACACAACCTGAATGAAGTTGACTCTCAAGCTGGTTTGGCTTGCTGGCCGTGCACATTATAATCTCATTGCTGATGTGCAGCTGTTTCGTTTCTGCGCAGCACAATGTAGCAAACTATACTGTAATTGACTACCATTAGTTCATGAATATAAGAAGGAAGTATACAACATTGCAGCACCTAGTAGCTCAATACCTGCACATTCCTGCTTACATAAATTGAATATTGCAGCGTTTCTTATACTGCTAGACTGCAGCACCAGCTGGATATCATGGCACAGGTTCCCACCTCTGGCAGACCTTCGTGGTTCTTACACGGCGCAGTGCGGAGCTCAACACAGCAAGCAGAGGCTACAGTAGCTAAATTTCAGCTTCCATCCTAAACCCTAAACCCTAAAGCTCCCTAAACCCCAAACCCTTAAGCCTTCACGTCCTGAGCCGACGCCCCCCGAACCAAGCCAAAGGTACGAGCACACCATCTTGCTTGGCAGCTCCCACAAGGAAGTCGCCATCCCAGTTTAGGTTTGGTCATAGGGTTTGATTTAGGTTTGACAGGATGGAATGGAGTCTTACAGTATATAATTTTGGGTTGTAACAGGTTGAATTTGGGGCTTGGCAGGCTTTAATATTGGGTTTGGGATGGGCAGTCGGTAGTCTTTGTGGTGTCGGACGGGGGCAAGCGTGGTCCAAGGTGCTGACGCGTGGCCGGCATCTTAGCAAGAGCCGTGAACCAGCTGAGAAGAATTTCCAAGGTTTCTGGGGTTTTGGAGAGTCGGCAGCTAAGGTGACGACTACTGACTACTGAAAGGATGTTGATTGCTTGCAAAAATCACGACGCGTGTGCGTGAAAATGGCTTTGTCCGTGCTTCACCCGCAGGGTACGTTGCGTGGTGCATGAGCAGCTCGTGAAGCTTGGGAGGGAATCAAGTTATACTGGTCACTAGCGACAGAAGCTTGGAGTCAGAGAGGGAGGCTTGCTTGATTGTTGGGAAACCCTAAACCCTACACCCTAAACCCTAAGCCCTAAACAGTGGGAAAGAATCGGATATGTTGGAGACCGGGAGGAGCAGAAGCTTCTCGGAATGCGCTGTGAAAGACCGCTGGGTTGGGTTGCCGCAGCTGCTACTCTTAGGCTCTTCATCTCAGCACTCTTGTGGCAAATTCCTCAGAATCAGAGGCTTTCAGGAGTGCGTCAGACCGCTCTACCCCACTCCACTTCTCCTAGCTGGAGATGCCCTTATAATGCTAGCCTTGCCCATGGGCCCCTGGCTCTGATAAGCAGCGTCGCCCCGATGATCCGCTACGAAAAGGCCGGGCCAGGAGGGAGGAGTCAAACAAAGAGCCATAACACTGACAATAGATGATCATAACCATGATATGAGAAGAAGAAGAATCATGAACAATGACTTCAAAAACGGCTATTGCAACAACGATGATCGTCGTAGTAGTCGTAGTAGCGGTAGTGGTAGTGGTAGT